GAGGCATAACACAGATTTCGAGACAATATCTTGAGCAAAAAACATTCAAATTTCGATTAAGAGTCATGCAGAGCTTCGATTTTAGCAAAATTATAGTCAAACTGATCGGCTTGATGAGACGGACCTAATGATATGAAAGTTAGTTCAATCTGAGTCAAATCAAGCCCGGATCAAGTCATTAAACTATCACTGGAGGATTTCCAGAGGCATTTAAAAGGTCAAACGGATGTCAAATCTAGCGAGTTTATAGTCAAATCGAGCGTCTAGAAAAGACGAATCCAACGAGCCCAAGATCGCTCAATTCCGACATCGTTAAGGCACTCAAATGTCCACCAAAAGTCATCTGATCAAGGGAAGCTCTCCGGGCCGTCTGATCAAAATGGTTCATATTCCTGTATTAATTGCACTCAAAACACTATAAATAGAGTCTCACCCCTCACATGAGGGGGAGGAGACTTAAGAGAGAACTTGAGGCTTTGAGAAGGAGTTCAAGTCCAAGATCATCCTCGTCGCCGTCGATCGCCGTCGATTGCCGTCGACCACCACTGACCGCCGACACCAACCGCTTGATCGCCGCCAGTCACCGCTGACCTTCGTCGACTACCATCGTCCGTCATCAGCCACCGCAGACCTCTGTCGACCATTGCCGACCATCATCGATTGTCGTCGACTACCGTTGATCATTGTCAGTCTCTGTCAACCACCGCTTACTAGACGTCATCAGTTGACGTTGTAAAGTGGAAAGCTAGTTACCATTTCCCGCCTGTGGGACAAGGGGCATTTGAAATCATCAACTTATAGTGGATTTTTACAACTGGGTCAGGCCCCGTGGTTTTTCCCTTTTTTACGGGTTTTCTACGTAAAAATCTCCGGTGTGATCACGGCTCGATTTATTTTTATCTGAGTGTGTGCTGAATTCTCGTGCAACGCTAAGACGATAATCCATTACTCTACCGCCACGAATTTTCTAGCACGCATCAACTATTAACTTCTCAAAATGGAGAATAAACGAAAAAAATAAGGAATATGAGTTTACTTGGGAGATTGCCTAAGAAGGATTCGGAGCTATTAGGGCAGGATCGCGGGAGGGCAGTGATATTAGAGCAGGAACGTGGGAGATCGCCGAAGGAGCCAAAGGAAGATGCGTTTACCTGGGATGTGTTTATCCGGGAAATCACCAAAGAAGTCGAAGGAGCTATTAGGGCAGGAATGTGAGAGGACAACGAAGTAATCCGTAAGCAAGGAACGCAGCCCGCGGGGTTTTTTCCGCAGACGTCGTTATTAACAAAATGAAAATTTCATTTTTCGAACCACGCCTAAAATGTGAAAAATCAAACGATGGGGCCGCGTTTTCATTTTGTTACAGTTATAAACTGCCCCAAAACGGGTCTCTGGCATAGTCACGCTGCCCCTCATCCGCGATGCTTGCTATTGTGGCGTGATCACGCCCGAGTTCAGTGTGGTCATGGTGGCGGCGACGGCTAGACACCGGTGATCTTGCGATGGTGAGGGCGATGGTCAAGTAGCGGTGGTCTAGCAGTGACAACAGTACAGGTCAGTCAATAGTGGTCTGGTGGCGGTGGCAGACCCATGGGGGGGGGCACGGTGGTCTGGTGGCGGTGGCAGCCATATGGTGGTGGCCAGGCAGTAGTGGTTCGATGATGATGGTGGCCAAAAAATGGTGGTATGATGAGTACAACAGTGGTCCGACGGCGGCAACGACAATGATGATCAGACAACGGTGGTCCAATTAGGGGTGTAAACGAGCCGAACATGAGCAAGCCTGGGCTCAGTTCGTGTTTGACTCATTAAAAAATAGCATTGTTCGTGTTCGACTAGTTTATATTTTGAACACCAAAAAATTGTTCTTGTTGGACTCATTTGCTTAGCGAGCCGAACCCGAGTTGTTGGCGAACAAAAAATCATTTTGATAATCCTAGTCATGTGCGGTTCTTATGGGTGTAAACGAGCTGAGCTTGAGCGAGTCAGACTCCGCTTGTTAAACAATATCATTGCTTGTGTTTGGTTTGTTTATATATCGAGCTCAAAAAATTTGTTTGTGCTTGGCTCGCTTGTTTATCGAGTCGAACACGACCTATTCACGAACAATGAGCTATTTTGTTAATCACATAACCGTTGAAATGTTAAGGGTAGGGCGAGATTTCAATTTCTTTATTTATATTAAAATATTCATTTAAAATGAATTTACCTATCGAGCCAAACACGAGCTATTCACGAATAATGAACTATTTTGATAGTAATTTTAATTGATTATAAATTTTTGTAGCATTGTAGTCAATTTAATTATCTTAAATTATTTAAATAATACTCATTATATATATATATATAAATTTTTCAAGCCAAAATGAGACGAACACGAACAAATAAAATTTTGTTTGTGTTCAGCTCGTTTATATCTCTAGCGCAAAAAAATTTGCTTGTGTTCGGCTCTTTTATTTAGCAAATAAATCAAACACAAGCTACATAACGAGTCGAACACGAGCTGTTCTCAAACAACGAGCCATTTTGACAGCCCTAGGTCCAGTGACAAGAATTGTGATGGCTCGACAATGTGGGTCAGGCGAGGACTATGGCGGCCAAATGACGGTGGTCCGGCAATGACTACAGTGGTGGTCGAGCAACAGTGGTTGGGCAACGATGGTGGTGCGACTTTGGTGGCTAGGCATAGTGATCCAGTGGTGATGGTGGTCAGATGACGATGGTCCAACTGCAAAGACGGTGGTGGTTGGGCAACAGTGGTCTGGCAGCGGTGGCGACGACGACGTTGGCTGCGAGGCAACAATGGTCCAACAACAGCGACGGTTCGGCTATGGATCTTGGGAATCCTCAAGAACTTGGAGCTCCTTTAGCTTTCTCCTCGACATCTAGATAGACCTTCATGAAGAGGGTGAAGATTTAAAGATTTTATGAATGACATCATTCGTAAATATTGCATCAATCTAAACCACTCCATCGAATGACTCGGAGTGATTTTCTGATCAGATGTAGTTTTATGAGCATTTGAATGCATTAATGATGTCAAATTTAGGTGATCTTAGGCTCGTTGGATTCGTCTGTTTGAGACACTCGATTTGACTATAAACTTGCCAGATTTGAAGATTTTTTGGCCTTTTAAAGTAATATTTCAATGCTTTTGTTTATTCTTTAAGTACATGATCTGGGCTGACTTTGATTTAGATCGAACTGTTTTTATGTTGTTTGGTTCTTTTCACTGAGGCACTTCACGTGATAATCAATTGAAGTGTGGGTATTTCTAAATTTATTTTTTGAAACCTCAGATCCAAATGTGCGTCTGGATTTGTGGAGATCAATATGACTTTTAAAGATGCATCATTAATAAAATCAATCAAATCAATCAAATTCAATGAAATCTAATTGAAATTTGTCAATTCTTTTACTTAAGATAATTTTAACATATTTTTACGGGGATTATACAGTGAAAATTCAAATTTCATGCGACCATAATTTCAGAAAAATTTTAATTCAAATTTCTTGAAACTTTATTAAAAAATGTCAACATAATAAAAACTACTAAAGCTTTATTGCAATTATCAAAATAGCTTATGATTCTCCGCATATTAAATCCTAACTTTTTTAGTTTATTAAAATAAATAATTTTAATGTCAATCATATAATCCAGCTTTGTTTTTTTTAAAATAGCTTATCGCCTATTTAACATAAAGTTTTTTGCCACCCCCATTGCTTGTGAATTGTGAGGAAAAAAACCCTTCTCCTTCAAAGAAAAGAGGAAACGAAGGCTCTTCATTCAATTATGACAGCAATACAAGAAGAGAAAGGAAGTAGAGGATGAAACATAGAAAGGGGAATTTAATTTATTCTTATCATTGTTTGTTTGTTTATTTGGTTTGCCACAAATGAATCTAAACATAAAGGTAATTTAATTTCTCGACTTTCTTGTTTTACTTTTATTAGAAACTATATTTACCAAATGCTTAAATTTAGAAATATGAAGAAACCTTTGGGATTGGATGTGATAAAAATGTTTGATAAATTTAATATTGCGATTCAAGTTTATTGTAAACCAGTGACTAATTTGATTTTAGGGAAGAAAACTACGAGAGTCAGTTTAAAAATTAATATTGATGGTAGTTGGAACAATTTATATGCTGGTATTGGTGGGGTGTGCCGTAACTTTACAAGAAATGTTTGTTTTGGTTTTTTGCTCCTGCTACGGTGTTTATGGCCCTCTTCTTAGCGGTTAAATGCAATTGGTCTTACATTGAGATTGAAATGGATTCTATGGAGCTTTGGAACTATTGTACTAAAAAGAAAAAGTATCATTGATTTCGTATTATTTCTATTAAAAAAAATCTTTGTTTTCCTTAAGTTTGTGCAGGTTCATTAGATTCTTATTCATCGAGAAGGGAATCAGTGCGCTAATTGGGCTGCTAAAAGAGGAGGTGACTCAAGAATTCAATTTCCTCGTTAGGATTCCTCTAGAGTTAGCTCGTTCGATTAAGGGTGATTGTTTAGATATTCCTTATATTCGTATTGATAATGATTTTTGAGGTTTTTATTGTATAAATTGTATATGTTCTTCGGTTCTTTAGTTTCTTATTTTTTTTATGCGTGAGTTGTTTTTTAGTTGTTTGGGTGGTGGTGTCTTTTTTGGTCGCTACTTCCTACTTTTTATTTTTGTTGAATAAAATTTCCTCCAAGATTAGTTAAAAAAAACATAGAAAGGGGAACAAAGGTTCAACAGATAAGACAAAACTCAATTTATTTTATTCTCTCTTTTACATAAATACAGAACATTAAGTCTGTTTAGATAGCCAATACAATGGCATACACTTCGGACCTTAATATCTTCATCGCTGAAGTTTCACAAAGCAAGATAAGAATAATAATAATAATAATAAAGAGAAACAAAAACTTCTTTGGCTCAAAAATGAAAAATAAAAATAAAAATTTAAAGCATTTTGTCTAACTTTCTTAGGAAAGAAATTATTTTCTGCAAGGAAATAAGCAAAAGAATATGAAATTTGCATTACTTACTTTTTTGAAAGAATGGCAACGAACAACACAATCCTGTGTTGCCCTCTTCTGGCCTCATCATCAAAGGGAAACACAATTGCGCGAAATTGTCAGCCGACTTGCCGTTGTAACAGAGTGTTATATATGTAAACAATGAAGTTAGGAGACTGAAATATTTAAATTCCATTGTTTTATGTGCTGTATAAATCCAGCCAAAAAAATTACATCAGAAGGGGAGCTCGGTAGAAATAAGGATTTTTGAAATATAAGAAATCTTGTGCCAATCAGAGCCAGCAAGCTTTTGATAGCGCTTCTTAAACGCTGGTTGACAACCGCAGACGGAGAGTTCTTCCAAGGAGGGAGGGAGGTGTTGTAATTCCCAGAGCAGAGGAACGTTATGAATGAAAAGAGTTCGGAGAGAAGAAAGATTATAAAGGCAAGACGGCAAGCAATCCAGCTTCTCAAGATCATGCAGAGACAGCCTATACAAAGAGGAAGGAAGGTCTGGCAGATTTCGGAGTGGAATCATTCCTAAGTAGAGATGCTTGAGAGAAGAGTGCGACAAAGGCTGTAAGCACTGCAATGATTCTAGGAAGCTAAGATGTAAATTAACAAGAGAGATGGGGATGGTCGGCAATAGCTTCAGCTGAGGAACCTCATGCACATATAGAATCTTGAGTGAAGAGAGGCTTGACAAGGTGGTAGGAAGGGACTCCAGGGATTTGAGGCTTTCAAAGTTCAACTCATGAAGGGATGAGCTAACTTGAAGAAACCATTGTTCTGCCTCAACTGGAAATGAAACCAGGTCATTATTATCCTTAATTTCCAGCTTTTGAAGGGAGGTGAGACTTCTCAATGGCACCATTTGCAACACGGATGGACTGCTTATAACAAGTTTATTGAGAATGAGCTCATGATTCTCATTGGCTTCCACTCCTTGCAGTCCTCTTAGAGAGATGAGATTGCGGCAATCTACAATTGTCAACTTTCTAAGTGCTGCAAGTCTCGCTGTTTCTTCAGCCAGTGGAAGAGATCTAATGTTGGGGCAGCGAAGGACTTTTAATGTTTCAAGGGGAATGGATTTTGAAGTGCTGCAACTGTTGCCCGTGCCACGTTGCCAGTTCAGAGCTTTCCACCCAATGTTATCTATCTTCAATTTCTTGAGCTTAGGAGGCAAAGAGGGCAACTCTTGCAAATTTGGGCAATCTTTTAGATACAATTCAGTCAAGCAAGGAAACAGACAGTCATATGTTGTTGGTGCAGCATCAAACCAAGCCTCCATTGCTTCCAATTTCTCAATACGTAGCACATCTAATGATGGAAAGACACGATCCTCATCATTCCCATAGAATTTAGAATCGAGTCGTTTTATTTTTGGCATGTTATGAAGATACAAAGACTTGAGGAAGGGAAGCTGCCCAAAAGGTGGAAGAGTTTCCCACTCCAAACACTTATCCAGTTCGATGCACTCTAGGTTGGAGATCAAATGGGCCTTGTTCATCCATATTGCAGACCCGGCATCCATGTATGCATTTATACTCAATTTCTTTAGGGTGTTATGGGGTTGAAGGTTGTCAAGTACCTTCTCATCTAAGTTGGGATCTAAAATTTTACGCTCTCTACGGAAGTAAGGAGCATCACCCCATTCCAAGGACAAATCCGTAAGGTTTTTTTTATCACATAATTTAGCACTGCAAGCCTCTTTTGGTTCCTTCACATTTTCCACGTGTTTGATTCTTAATTGATGAAGTTTATTCATATACTCCAGCTCCCCAATTCTATAACCTTCCTCTTTCTTAACATAAAATCCATCGAGTTCTTCAAGTGAGTTTAACTTACCAATCCCATACAACCCAGGGAAGTGATCCCAGGGTAATTGCAGATAATGAAGATTAAAAAGGTTGTTCATATCCCTTGGTAAGAAATCATGAGAAAGAATAATTCTTGGAAAAAAATCACAGACTATGAATTGCAATTGATAGACTACTTAAAGATCTTGGCAGCCGAAGGAGATTAAATTCAAGCCATAAGTATCGAAGGTGTATCAAATATTTAATTGCCTCGGGCATCATTTTCAAGTCTAGAGCATGTATATATAACAAACGTATGCTTCTTGATGCTTTGAAGATTTCACCGAGCACACAGATAAAATCTTGATCATCTACTAAGTAAGTTAAATGAAGTGAACGCAATTTTCTAAATTTTGTCACCTTTCTAAGCACATCTAAATTTTTAGTTTCAATAGATAAGTGTCGAATACTCTCAGGAATTGTATGAAGTAACTTTTCATCACCCATAACTCTAAAGCACTCCTGTGCAGAAATAGATTGTGCCAATTCGTGTAATAAATCGTGCATCGTATAATAATTGCCATAGTCCTCAGTCTGAAAAAAAGATTTTTGTACCAAAACCTCGAAATACCTTATTCCAATATCCTTCATAGTATCTCCTCCTCGAACATTAGATGTATGAATGAAACCCAAAGCAATCCACATTCGGACTAAATCATTTTTATCAAACAAATGATCTTCCGCAAACATGCCACAAAATGAGAAACAATTTTGTAGAGGCTTTGGTAGAAACATATAACTCAATCTTAAGATCGGAAATATATCATTTTTGCCCATTTCTCCATTTCCAATATCACTATTTAAAACTTTCATCCAATGCCTTTCATCCAAGTTAGAATTCAAAATACCACCCATGACCTTTGCTGCTAACGGAGATCCATAAACCTTTTTTACAATCTCAACTGCTATGGATCTTAATTTAGGATGATAAACATCAGGATTCTCTACATTAGCAAAAGCATGATTGCTGAGGAGATGTAAACAGACATCCTCCTCCAAGCCCTCCAATCTAAATGTTTCCTTCTTCTTATTAATCACCTTTGCAATCATCAATGCAACAGAGTCCATCCGAGTTGTTGCCAAAATCTTACTTCCCAAACTTCCATAATTCAGAGGAGCGAGCACATTCTCCCATTTGCTTTTATCCTGCTCCTCTGACTCCTCCCAAATGTCATCAAGCACAAGTAAGAACTTCTTGGCAATCACCTCAGATTTAAGACTTCTTTGAAGTGCCTCAAGTGATTCCAAATCAGGCTTCTTCATTTTAAGACATTCCAGCATATCTCTAAAAACTCTTTTCACATCAAAGTTATTGGAAACGCAAACCCACATTTTAAGATTGAATTCCCTTGTGATTTCATCTTCATAGACATGTTGCAAGAGAGTTGTCTTCCCCATACCACCATGACCCACTATAGAGAGAAGAGAAATGTTGCTCCCGTACGAAGTAGTGCTAGTACTAAGAGTCTCATTTTCATTTGATGGCTTCCTCAACCACTGCATAACAAATTCTTTTTCTTTAACTCGACCAATAAGATCATTTTTAGGCAAGGATCCCGTTTCACGTGTTTTGTACAAATCAATCAACTGCTCCTGTTGCTCCTGCTTTGTGCTTTCTAAAAGATGAAGAAAATTGCCAACATCAGCTGATACTCTATCAAGCTTCTTCACAACCTCCTCCAGTTTTTTCAATAAGGGATCAATTTGGAGAGCACGTTTACCAATTTTAACAATTCCTTTCTTCATGGAGCTCATGGCGGAACGCAGCTTTGTTTTCTCCTTGTTTTCGTTCAGCTGATTTTCATGCTTCATGTACTCAAACTCATCGAGCACATCATCTGCTTCATCTATGGCATCTCGTAGCTGCCATAGCCATTTGTTCAGATCCGGGTTTTGGTCTGTGATCTGTGCTTGGCTGGAAACAAGGACCACGGCTTGGATCTTGGGGTAATTCTCTCGCAACCTTTCCAGCTCCTCCTTCATGCCTGTCTGCCATCTGGCTTGATGTTTCAAGTACTCAAAGCCAGTGCTGACGAGCTTCTCCATGATTGGACCACCAAACCATTCTTCCATGGCGCCGATCAAGGTAGAGCAGAACTGAACAAGAGGAGAAAGTGTCAGACAGAAAAGGGTAAAATTTCCCGACAAGTTAAGGCGTGTTAGATCTGCGTAATTATATTTGGGAGATTTTTACATAGCATAAATTCCTATATTTTGTGTGCGATGTATGTAAATCCCCCTTGAAGTGTGGAAATCACTCGAACAACTAACCTTCCAATGCGATATGCGAAATCCTGAAACTTAAAGAGTAGTCAGTTCTACAGAAATTTCACTCAGCCTTCCTCGTAGAGCTCCAGTCGGCGCCGATCGAGTTTCCGCCGGACATCCGTCGGCCGTCGGTTTCCAGCAAGCTCCCTTCGTCTTCCAAACTAAGCTCCGAGTTCGTCACCGCCTTCGTCGTCTCCTCGTCGAGGCAGAAGATGAAAAATATTTTAATGTTATCTACTGAGTCCGTGAGTTTGCGGACAGCCTATAACAGTTTTCTATATTATTGATGTAATTTTACAAGGTGATTCTAACGAGAGTTTGCTACATGTAGCATATAGTTTTAGTTTCTGATTGGACTCCTGATTTAAAATTTTCTGCATAAATGAGGAGAAATTATTGCATATGGATGCAGTGTTCGATCCTGACCGTAGTCATGATATAATTCAGTTTTTTAAAAAAAAAAATTACGTAGGCCTCACCAAAATATATCCCACGATCTACGGTCAGGATCTGACACTGCAGAGATGCATGCAGTGTCTGTTCGTATGCAATAATTTTTCGTAAATGAGATATCATTTAATGTTAGATCCTGATTGAAGTCCTAATATAAAATTTTCTCTGTAAATGAGAAATCATTCAATGCTATGACACAATTTTACTTGGATTTTTTTATATGTTTATACTTTTAATATTATAAAAAATAAGTTTTTAAATTATACTGTTTTTTAAAAAAGTGAAATATTTATCCTTATCATTCGGGGAACAAAAATTATTGATTTTGTTGCATTAAGTAGTTAATGCTTTATACTTTGATTAAGTAAAATATCTTAACAACCTAACTTTTAAGCATAATATTTTAATCATTTTTTTCATTACAACTATTCCTAAACCCAATCATGAAAGTTTTAAGTGAAGCTTTTTTTTGTGATTAAAATGTTATATTTAAAATTTGAGCAATTAAAATTATATATTTGATATTTTGAATGTTCGGTACGAAAAAAAATTTTTTGGTTTAATGATAATCTCTCCAAGTCTCTCCAAGAAATTGAGAAACTCGTACAAAAAAACTGATATTTTAAATTTAATTTACTTTTCATTAAATTATAGTTTTACCTTTTTTGGGTAGGAAACCAACGGGAAATTACAAAATAATCGCATTATTAACTTCATGTATAATGAAGGTGGCGGTTTCATTATGCGAAGACAATGTTGAGACGAAGAAATTCACACAATAAAAGTCACACAAAAAAGATTTACGTGGTTTTAGTGTTGAATTGATTCGTCTACGTCAATGGGGAAAAACAATCCACTAGCATCAGATGGGGAGAAGAAAAAGACTTGGAGTTACAACTTCTGCACTTCTTACAACGCCTCTCCATGAAAGCAATGTCCCTTCTATAGAAGAGGATTAAAGGATACAAGTAAATAAAGCCAAAATATCAAATTACCCCCAATTACAATAAAAACCATAAATACAAAAATTTTCATCTCATCTCTTACTTACAGGTAAGTGAGAGATGGTCATATGAGTTATAAACTCCAATCAGCTGCTCTAAGATAGCTGCTTACGTGCCTCCCTCTCGAAGGGATCAAGTCTCGCCTAGCTCTTCAAAATGCACACTGGCAATGAGGCATGTGCTCGGACATTCACCAAACTTCTGCAGCAGGTGAAGTTATGGAATAATATCACCTTCGTGAACATGCCTATTAAATTCTCCTTTGTATCTATCTTCTTCAACAGAATCTCGTCGCTATCAATCAAGTCTCAAATAAAGTGGTGTTTCACATCAATGTGATCGGTACGAGCATGATAAATTAGATTTGGGACCAAAAATATTACACTCTAACTGTCACATAATATCGTCAGAGACTCTTGATCAACTCTCAATTCATCTAATAGGCCCTGAATCAATATCGTTTCCATCATCACCTATGTGACTATTATGTACTCAGCATCCATAGTAGATAAAAGAACAATAGACTTAAGAGCTGACCTCCAACTGATTGAAACTTCTGCCAATTTGAATAAATAACCTATCGTAGATCTCTGATTATCCATATCACATGCATGGTATGAGTCATTGTAGCCTACACAGAAATCTATGGTAGATGACTTCCTCTCAAACATCAAACCAACATTAAATGTACCTTTCAGATACCTTAGAGTACTCTTCACAACCTGCTAATGCTTCCATGAACTTACTCACAACACCAACTGCCTGTGTAATGTATGGTCTAGTACAAGCCATGACATACATCAAACTAGACCAGCACAAGGAATTGATTGCATATCTTATTTTTTCTGATTATCTTTAGGATACTTATCTGAACTTAATTGAAAATGAGTTGCAACAGGTAAACTCACCGCCTTGCTCGAGTAATCAATCCCAATTTTCTTCAACACATTCCAAACATAAGTTCCATGCGAAAGCCAAACATTTCCAATTGTCTTGTCCGTGAGAATCTCCAGGCCAAAAATTCTGCCAGCTTCACCTAACTCCTTCATTTTGAAATATTTGAAAAATTGATTATTCATCCACCCCTAGTGTGTGTTGTTTTTCTGCGTGTTTTATGTCAATTTAAATCCCTGTAACAGTGCCACAAACTTGACATGTCCCGAAATTACGCAGTAATTTAAATTTAAAAAATATGACCAAATTCTTGATGCACCCCTAGTGTTTATTGTTTTTCCTGCGTGTTTTATGTCAATTTAAATCCCCTGTAACAGTGCAAACGCTTCTAAGCCGTTGGCCTTTCGCCAAACCTTTAAATATGCCGGCAAAACACATCAGACCACCTTCTAAAAATACTATCGACAACACACACTGAGTTTTTTGTTGTTGAAGCCAAACCAAATTTCAATCACAAACCTGAAGCTCTTATATCAATTGTTACGTGAAAACAATGTGAAAACAAAGAAATTCAACAACAGCAATCAAACACAAAAGATTTATTCAGTTTGGCGTTGAATTGATTTGCCTACGTTTACGGTGATTCCACTAGCACCAGATGGTGAGAAAGAAAAAAACTTGGGGATTCAACTTCTACACTTCCCACCATACCTCTCTCATGAACCCTAACTATCTTTTATAGAGGAGGATTAGAACATACAAGTAAATAATGTCAAAAGATCAAATTACCCCTAATATAAAATTTTTTATTTGATATTTTGAATATTTGGTACGTAAAAACTCCTTTGATTTGTTAATTATCTCTCCACGAAATTAAGAAACTCGTCATTTTAAAATTAATTTGTTATCCAATAAATTATAGTTTTCTCTTTTTGTGTAGGAAGCTAATGGGAAATTAAAAAAGAACTATAATTGGCTTTAGGTATGATGAAGCTGGCAGTTTGGCTATATCTAATTTTATTTAAGAGATAGAAAACTT